CCTTGCAGGGGGGCAGTTAAATTGAAACTAAGATCTGGGAGGGGGGAAGTTGCTAGCGACCCAGCCCAGCAGTGGAGGGCAGTTAGGAGCAACCAGGCCAGCAGAGGGAGGCAGTTGGGGGTGACCAGGCTGGCAGTGGGGGCAGTAAGGGGTGACCAGGCCAGCAGGGGGGGAGTTAGGGGCAATCAGGCTGGCAGGGGAGGGGGGCAGTTAGGGGCAACCAGGCAGGCAGGCAGGTGAGCGATTAGGAGCCAACAGTCCAGGATTGTGAGAGGGATGTCCGACTGTCGGTTTAGGTCCGATCCCTGGGATCAGGACTAAACCAGCAGTCAGACATCCCCCAAGGGGTCCTGGATTGGAGAGGGTGCAGGCTGGGCTGAGGGGACCCCCCCACCCCCCGTGCATGAATTTCATGCACCAGGCCTCCAGTATATAACTCCATTATTTTATATTGTTACACAAGTTTATGTGTAGATGCTTATTTTAGAAGGATAAGAATTAAAGGAAAGAAAAAACCCAAACCATAAATTTGGTGTTTACCTTTCCTCTCTCCTAATTTGTCTCAAAGTACTATATATGCCAGAAATTCTGTAAAACCACTCCAGCAATTCATTACTTACAGAAATACTGTGATGAAGTTAGTGTTTAATATCTGCCAATGAAAATATCATATAACCTTTAATTATGACAATATCATATAATCTTTAATTAAGTTCTAAATCATAATATAAAATTGTGAATTGAATTGTTAGCAGTATTCCTTGTCAGATGCATATTTGATAAGCAGAGTTATTCTAAAAATGTAATCATGCCAAAAGGTGAAAAAATTAATACATCAATTTACACATTTTTGGTCAACTGCATGAAGTAAAGGATAAGATAGTATTTGATTTTTAGAATGTATTTTAGAGAATAATAAATATATTATTTACTACCACCTACTAGTTTACACGTAGTATGAAAATAAACATTTTCACAATTCCTTTTTTTCTAGATGAAGGAAGCAGATGAGAGTACAGGATCTGGAGATGGGCCAGTAAAGTCAGTACGCAAAAGAAGAGTACGGAAGGAGTAAACTCTGCTCAAGTATTTTTAATTCCTGAGAGAAACGTGGCGTTCTAAAATCAGTGTGCCAGAACTGAACTTGAATCAGTCTGCACATCCTGTTTTTACTATCTAGTAATGTTACTCATAATTTCAGACATCCATTGTAGTGGAGTCAATTTCAGGAAAAAAACCAAAAACTTTGAAGTTACCTGGTCTTTGAATTCAGAATAAAAGAAAAGTGGCAAGTTACATATCTGATTTAAAGAGATTAATATCATTATAAGTTACAGTTATTAATAGTTTGGAGAAAGTTTTGGTTTGTACAGAACAAAATAATATGCAGCAGCTTTCATGCTTTTAGAAAAATCAGTTATTGGAATTTCCTCTTGAATGGCTATACTACAATATAACTGGTAGCTCTACAATAAAACGAGAGTGTTCTGTTGTACAGAGCTAAATGCAATAAAGTTTCTGTATGGTTGTTTAATTCTATCAACATTTGAAAGTGTTATGTGTGACCCACATTTACCTAGTTTGTGTCAAATTATAGTTGTGGTCCATTCAACTTACTAGTAAATTACAGATTCCTTTAAAGAGGTGCTTTGTTGGCCAACAGGTCAACAAAACAGAAATGTCTAAGTGTCATTCACAGAATCACTGGTCAGTAGTGCAGCATAATTTACATTTGAATACAAAGCTAATCAATTCATCAAAATAGTAGATTTTTTTCCCATGCTTTTATAGTTGTTTTGAGTATTCTGGCCTTACCCTACTCATAATATTGCTTATGTGTACAGTGCTCTCAAATAGAATTTAAATATTTTTCTTCTTTAATTTATGTCCTTTTAAATAGGTGAGTTATTATTGGGAGGCTTTAAATTAATTTTCTGTTCATTAAGAAATTCTAATAGCTAATAGATATGCTTTATATTTTTGTCTTGCTTTTTTCCTGACAAATTTAAATCTACTTTGTCTATTCTCTCATCTAGCTTCAAAGCTACCTCTAAGGTAGATAGAAGCGACTATTACTACTGCTCCTCTTTTTAAACTACAGTAGTTACCACAAGTCGTAGAATGGTATTATAATCGAGCTGTGTTGTTCCACTTAAAATATTTTAAGAAGTTTTTATGTTTGGGTAACAGGTTCCACCTTTTGGAAGGTGATCTAAATCTTTGAGACCACAAAACTACTTTAATACTATCTTAAGAACTTTATACTAATTGGGTACTATTTTGGATTCCTTCATGGATATACACACCCCATCTTTGGACAAGCACCAACTAAGTTCCCATGTAACTCCCCCACCAGTAGTACATTTAGAGTGCATGCATAGGAAAATGAGTGTCTAGCTTCTCCTTTTACTAAAGGAAGCAGAACATAGTCTACTTATTTCAGGGAGTGAACTGAAAATGAAAATACCTTCTTTATTCCATTGGTGTGTTCTGAACTTGCATAAATTGGTGCTGGCAATCTTAATACATAATTAACCATATTTGTATTTACTTAATAATAAATGAACACATCTTGCAAGGACCCCTTTTCTTGCTTTGTATTTGGAATGTCCAAATGAACTGGACATATTGAATGATTCTAGATGAGAATGTTTCTGAAACTACCTCAGGAGATAAATCCTTTATTATGGAAACCTTCTTATCTGATAGGTATCTTGTATGTAAACATTTTTTTCTAAAGATTTATTATTAAAAGTTTTTTTTACTTCCTTGGTTGCAGATTCATTTTAACTTTAACACTTGGTTAAACTCCAAGAGCTTGCAGTGGTGAAATCTGAGCAACCAGTTTTGCCAACTCATTGCTACTTCTGTGGATGTACCCTCTGTGAATGTACCATAGCAGAGAGGTTTAACCCAAACTTAAACTCTCATCAATGTGTACTAGATCCATGCAGTAGGCAGATATAGTCTTCCTTAATCCCAAAATGGCTTTTTCCTTTTACCACCCCAATCTGACTTTAAGATGACTTACATTTTGTCCTTTTCTCTAACAAAGAGATTTTCGCTTTTAGTTAGCTTTTTAAGAGACTTTTTAACTTGACCAGGCTAATGTAGCTGCCTTTTTCTTGAATTTTTAAAAGATAGCCTTGCCACCATTGATTATGTCTCTAGGAAGACACATTAGCAGAATAGTAGCCTTTCTCAAAACATTGCAACTGTGCCCCATGCACTTTTCCTGCAAATTAGAATGGTGATAATTAGCGTGACTTGGAAGTCATGGTTAAAAATGACAGAGCCATCTTCAGTTTCTGCCAACTTGCAGCACTCACCTCAGAACCATTAGTTGGGAGGGAAATTTCTTTATTATTTTATATTATTTATTACTCTATCACATCTTTTTATGGGAGATTAGCCTAATTTAAAAATTACAACTGTGGAAATCTTGGATCCTTCTTCAAATTCCTTGCTTTTATTTTAAAAATTAATGTATAATATCCTATAATGTTTGTTTAATAAAATTATTATTCCCCTACACATCCAGGAACTGCTATTTAAGGAAGATATGCTACTTACCCTGTGGCTTTGAAGAAATAAAATTATTGCACTACATAAACAAAAACATACACAATTACTACAAATACGTATTCTGTGGATCTGATATTATTATTATTATTATTTTTTTTTTTTCTGAAACAGCCTTTTATTAAACAGCAAAGCAAAATTGCAACACAATTATAAACATTTGTAAATTAGGTAACAAAAAGGATGCAAAATGTTTTGCATTATGATTATACCAGTATATTCATATAGCTAAAGTCATTCATTGAATCATACACCAATACAAACATAAGATTATTCCATGATTAAAAGTAGCCCAAATCTAGTAACTATAATTTATATTAATGAATCTCTTTTCCTATATTTTTATATTAATTCTGATATTAATTTCCTTAGCAAATGGAATCTACAAACTAAATTTTAAAAAAATTGTTAAAGAATGATTAAAACTCTGCATACCAAGTAGCTGGGCTTACAGAAAACTCAGGGAGAAGTAGTGAGATAAAATACTGAACATTATCGATTAGTTTACATGAAAACTCTCCCATTTTATTCATGATTCTGATACCAATACACTCAAAAGATTTTGCAAAAATTGATCTGCTAGATACTATAAATATACTTTGAGACCAAACTCTTTGTAACTATTGTAGATGCGGTTTACATAGGTGAGTCAAACTTAATCCACTTTCATATATATCCCCCAAAAGATCTAATCTGTGCCAGAGATAACACAAATATGGAGTAAAAATATTTGGAGTTGGTTACTACTATTTACCAAGTACTTTTTCCATCCTATTTCTATTTTTCCTCAAAATTTTTGTATTTCAAACATCCGTACAACCAGAGTTCATCTTTTCAGATTCCAAGTTATTTTGTGTAAAAGGAAGTTTCCAATCACAAAATTTCCCAACTTGCCAATTCAGCTTCAAGAAAAACGCCCACTTCATTTTTATAGCTTCTGTTTTCAAATGATTAAAGAAAACCAACAATCCTACCTAAATCCCAGTATTAAATACAGTCATGCACTGCTTAATGACTGGGATACGTTCTGAGAAAAGCATCACTGGGGAATTTTGTTGTGCAAACGTCACAGAGTGCACTTACACCAACCTAGATGGTATAGCCCACTACACACACCTAGGCTACATGGTATATACCTGTTGTATCTTCAGTCTGTCATGGACTGAAACGTCATTTTGTGGGCGGGTGGCTGTATAATAAATAACAATCCCTAACTTTTAGTTAAGTTTCAACAATACTGTTCAGGTTACTCTCATAAATGATTAACTACTAAAATTGCTCTTACAAATGTGAAACCAGTTTTTCCTTCAGGATAAGGGAAATGGGAAGGAAGGAAGAAGCAAATGAAGAAGAGGCACAAGATGGTAGACAGGGTACATAAAGCTGTGCATTCAGTACATGATTTTGGTCACTTTTCACAACATGGTTATTTTCTTGTATCTCCTACTATATAATAAAAGACAGTGCTGAACCTAAATCTGATAAGACATCAAGTTTCATAAATATAAGCATTTCTAATTATAAAGTCTCTACATTTTCATGTTTTCATAGACTAACATAATACACAAACTCACGGAAGTCTGTTATGCTCTTAATTTTGCCTAGATCTGACATCATCTTCATAAATATTCAATGAAGCCACAAACAAAAGTACTATAACTTCTGGAATCTATCCAAGTTTTTAAAAAAAAGATCAGCAGCAATCCATAACAGAGAAAGGATATTGATCTCTTACTTTCTTTTGCTTTTTGTGTCAGTTGTTTGAAAAACACTAGAAGCTGACATGAGGTTTTCTATATATTGTCCAAGAACTTGGTTTTCTGATTTTAGCTTCAGATTTTCTTCCTTCACTGCATCTACCCTTGCAGAGAGGTCTATATTAAAAATAAAAAAGCCCATTATCGATAACATGATGGCAATGTTTCCATTGGACAAAATGCTTAAGATTCATTCTTGAGAGAACACAGTTCTTACATTTTCTATTTTTAAACTGAGATTACTTTAGAAGTAAACAGAGTGCAAATAGCCAAAGTTCCTAAAATGACATTTCACAGTAGACTAAATGTTATTCTTTATAAACAGCATTTATGTTGACTAAAACCTAAAAGGGTTTTTAAGATGTGGTAGGTGAACACAACTGAATTTATATACTGGATATAGAAAGCTGGTTTCCAAGCAATTGAACATTTTGTATTTTTACATTAGCAAAAAATTCAAAAGATGTAGTTCTTGACGATCAAATAAAACATCACTAACATTCATTCCTTTAACAACTAAGTATTGGGTGCCCGCTAAAGCCTGGCACTCACTGTTCCAGAGGCAACAGTAACAAAAAAGAAAGGTCTCTGCCCTCACAGAGCTTATATTTTAATGTGCATTTAGGGGGCCCCAAGTGGGGGTCAGAAGAAAAAGCAAGAAGAGTAAGGGTCACCGAAAGCAAAGGGAAGTAGCCCTTTTATACAGTATAGTCAGGGACAGCTATTTTGATCGAGGAAATTTGAACACAAACCTAAAGTGAAGGAATGAGCCTAAATAACTATGGGAAAAAGCAGGGGGGAACAGCAACTGCTAAGACCCTGAGTAGAAGCATACAGAAAGAACAGTGGGGGATGTGAGGGGCAGAGTATCTGGGGTAGAATGTAAGAGGCCTTGTGTGTGACACGGCTCTGAAAGGTAGAAGGGAATAGACTTCCAGAGAATAACTTGGCTTTTATGAACTGTGACGTGGGAAGCCACTGGAATGACATGATCTGCTCACTCTGGTGTCAAAAACAAAAACACACACACAGAAAACTCAAAACCCCCCAAACCTCAACCTCTTAATTTAATTAAAAACCAAAAGATGTCTCAGTGTTAGTATTAATTTTATGTAAGACATTTAGAAAATGAAAAACTCAGATCAATTCCCTTTTAATCTCGGGGGTGAAAACCGCTTTCAGTACAAGACTTAGTAACACAATGTTACCTTATGAAAAGGAGCTCTCATGTACTGAGTAGCATTATGATAGACTTTTAAGAGGGAAGCTTAAGGACACTATTTGACTTCCTATTGAAGCATATCTGTTCTTTAAAATCACCAAAGCTACAGGCCCCAGGGAGAAGGGGACGGGGGAAACTATTGAAATGGGCTTGAAATTTATACTTTTTAAAACTGCTCACTAACAAAATTTAACAACACAAAGGCTCACAATTTCAATTAATTTATGTTAAGAAAGCTACAAAATGCAAACTAACCTTCAAGTGTGTGTTGGAGTTCCAACACTTGATTAATAAGTCGTGTTTTTTCCTCCAATTCCACCTGATTTTCAGCATCAACTGCTGTAATAAAAAGGTTCAAATTTACCATAAACATTAGGTACCATTTGTGTAGGGTAGCACTTAAAGATCTGCAAAATGTTTTATATTTACTATCTAACTTGACTTATGCAAGAGACCTGTGAAGCAAAAAGTTCTATCCCCACACTGCAGATAAGGACACCAACGTGAAGAGAAAGTGTTTTGCCAATATCTCACAGTTAAGGAACAGAAGCTGCCTTAAATCCTTCCCAGAACTAGAAGAGATATAAATGAGTAAATTAGCCAAATCCAAAACTCTAAATATTCTTCTCTGTTCTTTCCATTGCTTAATAAAGCAAAAGCACCCACAAAACCAGGATTATACAAAAGGAAAATAAAGAACATACCATCCATGTCAGCATTCATCATCTTGGGTAACAAACTTTTGGACCTCGGATACAAAATCCTTGGTGACTGGTCTGCAACCAGAAAAAGAAACATAAACACAGAGAAATGAAATTTAAGCTTGTTTTTCAAAAGAAAATTATATGACCCAGTGGGATCCTTTCATATGCTTTACTGTTTCTAAGAATAAACACCCAATGGCTAAGTAAGCAAAGGATATGTACAAATAGTTTACAAAGAGAAGTAAATAAGAGAAAGTGCTGTTTCTTGGTTATCAGAGAAATACATAATAAAATACAACTGTACATCTAGTATTTTTTAAAAAGATGATCAGCCCTGGCCAGTGTTGCTTCATGGTTAGAGTGTTGTCCCATGTACTGAAGGGTCACAGGTTCAATTCCCAATCAGGGCACATCCCCAGGTTTTTGTTCGATCCCTGGTCTGGGTGCTTACAGGAGGAAAACAATTGATGTTTCTCACATCAATGTTTCTCTCTCTCCCCCTCCCTTCTTCTCTCTCGAAATGGGGGGCAGGGAGGAGAGAGAATGATCAATGCTAGCAGTTATGAAAAAACTATTAAAATAATGCCATTGTGCATTAATATAGTAAATGCTTCACATTTAAATGCATCAAATCAATAGAACACTGCAATTTACAGATGTGGACATTATATCTCAGAAAGTCTATGCATCTTGCCTTAGATTTCTGAGCCAACGTCTGTACCAATTATTTGAACCCAGGTCTAACTACAAAGCCCCCTTTTCCCATCATGCAATGGAAGAAACTGTAATAGGACCTTAATCCAAGTTTGCCAAACATTTTGCAGCTCCTGATGTCAAATCCCTTTGATATTTCTACTAACTAAGCAACTGAGGATAAATTACATTCCCTTCAAGCTGCATCAACTGTGAACATGGTTTGTTTGCTCGGGCCTGTTCAAGTTCTGACTTGTTCTGGTTACATAAATCCACAAATTAAGGAACTGTTTGGCCAAACAAGGATCAGAACGGGAGGAAGATCCCGAGGAAACGGCTATGTATATTGAGGGCAATGAGCACAGCACAGAGTATATAGACAGAGAGCTGTGGATCCGGTGCAGAAAAGGTGTTGGGACCACGGCATAGCACGTCCGTAACACCGTTACGTCACAGTACTGGGATCAATGCACTGCACAACAAAAGCCCTGCTCTTTCTCGGTTCCAACAGAACCCCCCCAAACAGGTCACCCAAGAAGATGCTAACCCGGGAGCTACTTTTCAATGCCTGGACAGATGTCGCCGGCCCTCACCGTACCGCTCACTTGCCCCCAGAGCATCGGCGGCCAAGCCCAGGCGCGCCAGGTCCCCTAGCGCCATACGCCCTCCCGCGGCCCCATTTGAGGGCGGGGGTGCTGGACAGCGGCCTGGGCTCCAGGGCGGCGGGGAGAAGGCGGCAGGACGTTCCGTCAGGGGCCGCGGGCGCCCCCACGCCCAGAGGAACCTCTGGGCCCAATGATGAGACGATGAGAAAAAGAGATGCGCGGCCGTTCTGCAGGGAGCCAGGTCCCAGCCGCCCACCAGACGCCCAGGCCCCAGGCCGCTCCTCCCGGGCCCCGGTGCACCGAGCCCGGTCCAGCCCGCCCCGGCCGCTGGGTCCTCGGCGGGACCGAGGCCACAACTCCAGTCGCCTGGGCCAGGCCCTCTGCTGCCCAAGAGCCCTCACCTGCCGTTCGAGGCGCCGGGAGGGGCAGGTACCTGGAGGATGCTTCGGGCCCGACACTTGGAGCAATTGACACTGGCAGCTCCGCCCCCTCCGCCCACAGAGCTTGCGCGGAGCCGGGAGTCCCGCCCCGTCCCGCCAATCACCGCTCCAGGAGGCACGCATGCGCATTAGCTGCCCGGCGCCCCAATCGTCTTCCCTCTTAGCTCCAGGATCCACCTTTTACTTTAACAAAAAAAAAAAAGGACATTGGCATCCAATCAGCATTTAGGTCATTGGGGGCGGGTCCTGGAACAGCAACAGCCAATGACAGCACAGAAGGAAAGTTAAGCGTGAGAAAGCCGACGCCAGCAGGGCGTTCCTCGGGTCTCCGCGGGAGCCTGAAAATTGAGGTCACAAATCCAGTAAGAAAACTCTTGACAGTTGTCAGGAAGGAGGTTGGTAAAAAGAAACGCCGGGCAAGAGAGAAACACAATGTAGGAAAGGAGCATTCCTGGAGGTAACAGATATAGAAGGCCAATGCAATTCCGTGGTTCCTCAGTTCTAAAAGCAGACTCTTCCATTTTTTTTTTCACTTCCCAAGTCGCAGAGCTCCTACGTGCACCTCTCGTAGATTGTTCCTCTCCGCAACCCTTCCAAAGACCATTGGATAATATTTTAGAGTTGACAAAATACCTTAATTGTACTTTGGTATATAGCGCTTTCTCTCACCTTATTCCATATTCATCCTCACAACAACCCACAGAAAGAAACTGAAGCTTCATAGTAAACAAATGTCTTGCTCAAGGCCATCCCCGCAGTGTGTCAGGCTTTGGGGTGTAATGTAATCTGGCTTGATACCATTCACAGATAGACGGCCCTTGACATAAAGCACACCCTGTTTGTTTTCAGTATATGGTGAATACATGGTGGTAGCATTCATGGTGGTAGCATTCTCCTCAGTTATAGGGGTGACATTATGACTACCTGTTTCTTGGCTTTTTACTTTGGGTACAGTTTGCTTATATTTTGCCGAGTGAAAATAGCCAGGCAGAAAATGTACAGTCTGTATGATTTTATTAATATAAAGTTCTAGAGCAAACAAATCGTATCTAGTGTGATAGAAGTCAGAACAGTGGTTGCCTGGGGTGGAAGATGAATAGAGGGTTGACCTCAAAGGAATAGGGGGAACTTTCTGGTGTAATGGAAATGTTCTATGATACCTTGATGGACGTGGTAGTTACACAGTGTATCCTATAACTTACAATGTGTGTATTTGATTATGTATTATATTTCTTTAATAAAACCGATATTTTTAAACAAGAGAAGATTCCTTTAGGGTTTGAAATATTCTAGGCATGTTTCTTGGGTTATTTTACTCAGTCCTCAAACAATCCAGTGATCTAGATGTTATCTATCCCATTTTACAGATGAGAAAGTCAAGGTTCAATATCATATAGCTAGTGATAGGCTGAATCGAAACCTACCTTTTTATCTGTAAAACGGGTATCATAATACCTACTTCGATGAATCTCTATTAGAATTGTCAAAATTAAGTAAAAATAAAGCACTGCAAAGACTTCTCAAATTGAAATGCTTTGAAATCACAGCCCAGAGAAGGTGGGTTGGAACTTGCAGGCCAACCTAACCAACTCAAGTTTCTACTAAGGCAAAAATATCAACATTCTTCATAGGACTGAAACAAGACCCAGGAGCTCATAGTGTAACAGTCAAAATATCCAGGATCTAATCCACAGTTACTCCGTTTATGAAGAAGCATAAAAATCTCAACTCACATGAAAGTCATCAATAGATGGCACAAATGTTGAAATTATCTGGAAAAGATTTTAAGCAGCTATTAAAAAATACTTGAACAAGTGATCACTAAAAATCTTGAAACAGAAGTTATAATTGAAAGTATAAGCAACATAATAGAAGCTATAAATAAGAACCAAAAGGAAACCTCATATCTGGAAAATAAAATAATTGAAATAGAAAACTGCAAAGACTCCATGACAGGATGGAGATGAAAGTGGGAAGAGCGACTGGAGGCTGCCTCAGTAGAACTCATCCAATCTGAGCAACAAAGAGAAAAATCAACAGAGTGAAAACACCCCATCACCTCAGGAATAAAAGACCACAAAAAAGATCTAGCATTTATGCCATCAGAGTTCCAGAAAAAAAGGAAACAGAGTATGGTACTGAAATACAGGGGGGGGGGGGCAAAGTAGGTTTACAGTTGTGAGTACATGAAACATTTTATTCTTCTGAGTTAATAAAACTATTATAATAATCATATCCTGCATGTATTTTTTCCATATGAACAACTGTAAATGTACTTTTGCCCACCCCCTGTATATTTAAAAGAAATTAATGACTCCTCCAAGTTTGGGAAAAGACAATTTCATAAGGGGAAGGGGAGATTAGGAAAATAATGTCTAAAAGGATCTGGGGGTGGGGGGAAATGAAGATGACTTTTGAGAACACTGTTCTAGACACTGAGCACCAATATCACTAACATCACAAAAAGGACCCCCAGATAGTGATTACTTTCTGATGGAAGAAGGATGCACCGCCATCTGTGAATAGTCTTGTCAGGAAAAAAAGAAAATAAAATTGCAACCTGACCTGATCAAGCTCCCAAAATAGCAATTTTACACAAAATACGGAGGACAGATTATATATATAATTTTCATTCTACCTCCTGGATAGAATTAGCAAAATCTGGCTATGGAACAAAACAACAAGACAAAATAAAAAAACAATGCCCCTTTCTCTAACAAAAAGAAAGTAATTTGCACTGGAGGAAAAAATAGAAAGAAAACCTGTAGGTAAAAAGACACTTAAAATACATACTTCTTTTAAACAAACAAAAATCCTATGGTTTATGTTGGATGTATCCTTGGATGATAAAAACCATTTAAAGGATGCAAGAAAATGATTGCCATTCAGTAGAATATGGTTATTTTAGGGTGTTCACCTTTTTTAAAAAAAATTCCGGAACCCAACATATATCTTGGTAAATAATTTAAACTTTAAAGGAAGTCTAAGACAAACTATCTAAAAAAAATAACATACAAAAAGATAATCATAAGGTTAGAGAGCAATAGAGCATTCACAAAATATTGCAAATTGGATAAAACAGTGTTGCTGATACTTAAGATCTGTCCTTGAAATAACAAAAATGTGAAGAAGAAGAAAAGGAACACCCAAGTGAATATAAAAAGGGAGTTGAAATTTTGGCAAAGTAATCATGAAGTGAACATTCATTTATATATTTATTTTATACAATGTTCCATACTTGCATTATATTTTTTCCAATAAAAACTGGTTTAAAAATAGGCACTAAAGTTTGCTTCTTTTGAATAGGGAACACATACAAGTACAAATAGAAACCACTGAAATTGCATAGAAATATTTGATTATGATGAATATTCATGTGATCTGGAATATGCATATATTAATGTCAAATCATCTAAATAACAGTAGAAAATTAAAATATTTTCCTAGGGAATGGGGAACTCCAAACTGAAAACTGTTGTTACAAGGCAATTAGTTGTATGAGGAAGAAATGATAAATAACAAAATAGGGAACTTACAAATCATTTTGATCTTCCAGTCTGACATGCTCTCATCATGCACATAAAAACTTCTAACTTGTCTTAAGTAATTAGAGGGTTCTAAACATACTGTGGATATTTTAAAGTGAAATATGCTAAATGGAAGCATTTTGATAACTTTCAAGTGTAACCAGGTGTGTTCCCTGATATTTTAAGCTCATTGATTTGCAAAATGTGTTTCATTTCATTTCTAAATAAGAACTCATATTTTCCTTTTTCTTTTTCCTTGAAAGGTTATTGAATTCATTGGAGAATGAGTGCTGTCCCAAACTTGGTGAGTAAGGCATATATTTTACTAGCTGAAACTTGATTTCAAAACCAGACTTAAAAGTATATTCATTCATATTGCTATTTGGTAAGTTAGGCTGTTCATGTGTACTTTTCTCAAGATTATAATTTTCTGGTAATAATCAATAGTTGGCTAATTTGATCAGAATCATTTTCATTCATTTGTTCAATAGATAAAAAGAAATTACCAGTGTATTTTTAGAGTTTTTCAGATGAGAATCAGAAGGATATTAGGGTCTCCATGGAATCAAGCTTTGAACTTTGCAACAAAATTTAAAATAATTAGGAATGATTATCCAGTCTTGATGCTTATTTTTCTCTTGACATAGTCTTGTCTAATCAGTGCTTCCCAAACTGCGTACCTCTGGTTGTACAGATGAGCTTTTAAAAATAGTTACAATAGCTGCATCTTTTTAAAAATATGTTTTTATTAATTTCAGAGAGGAAGGAAGAGGGAGAGAGAGAGAGATATGTCAATGATGAGAGAAATCATTGATTGGCTGCCTCCTGCACGCCCCCTACTGAGGATGGAGCCTGCAATCCGGGCATGTTCCCTGACTGGGAATTGAACTATGACCTTCTGGTTCATAGGTCGATGCTCAACCACTGAGACATGCCGGCCTGGCTACTACATGTTTTATTGTAATAAAAAATACGAATACAACCACTCTCAATTTGAAGATGCTTGGCCTAGAACCATGGTCGGCAAACTGCGGCTTGCGAGCCACATGTGGCTCTTTGGCCCCTTGAGTGTGGCTCTTCCACAAAATACCGACTTCTGCGCATGGGCCACGAAGTTTCAATCGCACTGTACGTGCGCGCCTGCACGTGGTATTTTGTGGAAGAGCCACACTCAAGGGGCCAAAGAGCCGTATGTGGCTCGCGAGCCACAGTTTGCCGACCACTGGCCTAGAACAAAGCCAAGTTCAAAAATGATATTACTTAAATGGTTAATTTAATGTGGTAAAAATTATGACGTTGGTATGCAAATGACTGGTTTGAAAAATACTGATCTATCAAAAAAGCAATAAGCATTGGTTTGAAAATGAGGAAATCTGGGTTCCAATTCTGGCTCAATCTATAATTCTTCATGTATAGTTGCTGGTTAGAAAATTTATTTTAGTGTTTATTATGAGCTAGATAGTGTAGTGTATCCAAATATTTGAAATTGACCACACCCCTGTGGGGGATGAGTCACTTTACTA